AAGTGTTTTATGCATTGTCTTGCATTGGCACTTCCAAGAAGCACAGCAAATTGAAGATGACTTGGCCAAAGCGTGGAGCCGATGACAGCAGTGGAGCTGGTGAATGAATCCTATGATACAAAGTAGAGAAAAGTATTTTAACTCTGAAAGAATTCAAAGATATTTAGTGACAATGTACTCAGAACTGTCTTTTCAGATTGTCCATTACTTAAAAATGGGCTCAAAAGAGGACATTTGGATATGGATTTAAAACTGACAGGATACAAGAATGATATTGACAAAGATGTTATATAGGATTTACAAATGAAAGCAGTTGGTGTTTACATCACTAAAAGGGACAAACAAATAAGAAACCTGAATGACTTGGGTATGTGGATTTCAACTCAGAAAAGTGACTTGGATAACTTTTATTTTTGGTAGGTATCAAAAGGGATACCTATACGGATTTCCTGAGAAAAAGACAGAGAGAATGAAATCAACTTCTGAGACACTACTTAAAAGGAATAAATATCAAGACTTTCAAAAATAGATTTATAAAATTGCTTTATTTGATCAAGGTTAAATCGTACATGATTTTTTTTCAGCAACTTTTAAACACTTTTTTCTTGACCAGGACCGAATGATTTGCTTATCGATAAGTTATGGGAAGAAGATATTTTTTTTGTGTGGTATTTTTTGAGAAGTGATAAATATGTTATTAAAATTGAAAGGAAGTGTTAAACTTGTGAAGGAGTTTCTGAGATGAAGATGGTAAGAAATTAATTTGTGGGACGTTATTTGATGGGATTAAATTTCAGTATGTTGTTTTTGTCAATTCTTAATTAAATCTTTTTATGATTAACTTTGAATGACAAGGCTTTAAAGCTCTGTTTATAAATATAAGACATAGAAAGGATTGTTTGGCATTTTTAGAAAAAACAAATCATATGTAAAGGAATATGAAATTTGTTTGAGGTGAATATACACAAAACCCTAAAACCCCATAACAGAGCTGTTTTGAATGCAGATCATGGGTTTAGCTATCAATGAACCTTAGCAGATTCATTGTAGTTGAAATAAAAGCAATTTAGTGAGGTAGAAAAGTCTTAGTTCTTTTGAAACCACAACTTGAAGAGAGGAGAGAAAGTAAGTTCTCTTTTATGTCTTAAAGGCTCATTTTACTCACAATGGGCTAGATGGAAAAGGCCATAGGCGCCATGGACCTTTCCATTCTCATAAATCCAAACAGCTGATGAAATCTGTCACCTTTCAAGACTATTAGAAAGAGAGGGGAAGGAAACACAGAAGTTTGAAAGGCAGGACACTCAGATAAGGCACTGAATGAAACAGCAATTATTTTTGATCCTTGATATTTAACATTTTGGCTTAAGTCTACCTTCCCCAAATTGGGATCTTTCAGTGTTGAGGACTATAATCCCCAGCCACTTTAGCTTCTGACCACACAGGCTGGAAATTCTGGGATTCAGAGCTGATGAAGCTAGAGGACCACAATCAAAGAAGGTTGCCTTGAGCAATTCCATGAATGAGCCTTATGGCATTAGGCTCTGGCAGATTGTGTAGGAAGAAATGTCCATGTGGGTTCAATTCCAAGTGGGGAGAAAGACACTGGAAACATGAAGGCTGCTTGGAAGGATGGTTTAATGGTGAGGCAGAACTACCAAGCACATGTGATTCTGCATAGCTGACCACATCGAGTGGAGAGATGTTTATATCCTCGCTTGGGTCTTGCCTTAGAGCTTCCTGTTCCTTTGCAAGGGCAGGTATCCTATTGGTTGCTGTAGGGGTCATGTGCAAATCCTAGGAATTTGTCTAAGTTTGGTTGAACTGTGTTGGGTGATGTAATATCCTCAGGTGCCATATGGTGAGCTCTACTGCTAGATGGGTAGAGGGCTAATCCTATTATGTTCCGAGGGTGAAAGTCTTTTGTCTTGTAGATAAGCTGGCACTCAAATATCTGGTGGGGCAGGGAGCTGCAGGGAGTCTTTAAAAACATGTTTCTCCTTTTCTCACCCAGGAAAATATAATATTCTGCCTTTTTATTATTTCCTTATCATTCTTCTAGGAGAGAGGTGGGTGCTAACTTTCTTCAATTGTATTGCAGTTTATTTTATAATCCATGTAAATTTAAACAAATTTGAATTCGTTTTACATTTGTAAATCCAATCAAGTCAAAACATTCATGTAAGATGTCTTTGGGGAATTCTCTGCTTGGCTTGGAAGCAGTTGTGGTGAGCTGCTGGAGACCACATCGCTATGGTCCTTCCTTTGGATTGGACTATTTAGTCATAGTAATCTGGTGTTGAGGCAAAACCCTTGCTTTTCGGTGTTACTATTCTACTGTGTGATGTTGCCACATTTTTCTGATTGTGTGGCTATCTCAAAAAGCAGCCTAAAACAGGAGAGATTCCCTTGCACTTTGGTCTCTCTGGATGGCTGTGCTCAACATATAGTTCCAGGATCCACCAAAATCTGTGAAACAGCAGCACCAAGTGGCAATTTGCATGCATTGCATTGTGCTTCAGTGAGGAGTGCATTTTTGTTCCATGGACTGCACTTTATTTACACCTTGAATTATAACATTTTAAAAAGAGAAATAGCAGAAAATACAAACATTTGTATAATTTCACTTTGTTTACAAACTGCTCAAATGTCAGAATTATATTTGAATAGCCTTTTCTTGTGAGAGAGGTCATCTGTAGTCCTTCCTGGGCTAGACAGTTCTGTCTTTTCTATTACTAAAATATTACCCCTTTTATTTATAAAATTTAGACACCATCTCACTTTCAGAGTGTCAGAGTTTTGCATACAGGTAGTCTTCGACTTACAAAGGTTCATTTATTGATCATTTGAAGTTACAACGGCAGTGAAAAAAAGTGACTTATGACTGTTTTTCACACTTATGACCATTGCAGCATCCCCATGGTCATGTGATCAAAATTCAGATGCTTAGCAACTGGCTCACATTTAATCTTTAATAAATCTTTACCTTCTAAAGCTACAAACCTACTGTGGTCTTGCCCAGAGGTTCGAAAATACTGGTTTAAAATCAAAGACTGGCTACAGGAAATCACCAACGAACAACTAGATCTAGAACTGGAACTCTTCCTATTGGGGATCTTCAAAAAAATATGTAAAGAGCACAAAATACTTAATATTACACATATTAACTGCTGCCAGGATTGCCTTTGCCCAATGTTGGAAACAGTCATGCATACCCTCAGAGAAATCTGTTATACAAACAGTTATGAACTGTGCAGAAATGGACAAATTAACACAGAGTTTAAAAGATAAAGAGGCTTCGATATTTTATAAGATGTGGGAACAATGGTATAACTGGATAGAATGGAGATAGACTAAAGATAGGTACCCTGTTTCTCCAACAATATGGCCTCCCCAAATAGGAAGTCCCAGCATATTTTATAGGCATGAAATGAAATTAAGCCCCTCCCCCCAAATTAAGGCCTATATTAAAACATGCGAAATGGGGGGGAATGGTGGTGGGGTGCTTGCCATTAGGAAATACTTTTGTTGCACACCCGGATATGGTGCTGCCTGCGTTGACCCCGATATGAAGTGCCCCACCAACGCCGAGGTCAACATCCAAGCCATCGCTGCCCACCCGCCTGAAGATGCTGGGGGGGGGGAATTAAGTCACCCCCAAAAAGATGGCTTAGCCATTTTTTCGGGGCTCAAAAAAAAAAAAAAAAATAAGACCCGGCCTTATTATACGAGAAACACGGTAATTATCAAATATAAGTAATAGATAAAATAAGAATGTAATTACGCATAAATACCTGTAAATAATGCACAAATTATTGTTATAAGCACTACAAATTGCTGTTATTGAGTGATATATTTTTTATGTTTTTAATGTAATAAAAGTTCAATAAAGTTTATAAAAAAATAAAGCTACAAACCTAACAAATTAGCTTCATTGATTTGAAATGGGAATTATTTTAATAACAACTTCAGGAATAAAGAGATCTTTCTTCATCTCTTGTCTGACTTTGAATCCGAACTGCCATGTTTAAAATAGTTTTGTGGATAGGTGGCAAAACTCCCACTTTTTATACTATAAGGAGTATGAGAAAAATACTTTCCCCCACATCAGTCTCTCAGAATTGGAAAGGAAAAGTCTACAGCCCCATCAGATTGTGGGACAGGGACAACTACTCAGCTATTCTCAGTTTGCCTCTATGAACTGTTTTCCCTTCCAAAAGGATGATAATGATGCCTTCATACACACATGAAAATAATATCTGACAATGGATTTTTCCTGCCTTCCTAATTACATTCCTTCCTATTTTGAATATTATTTTGATAAGGCATACAAGTTTGCTAGAATCGTGTAAATATTCAAAAAAAAATCAAAGTACATTTGAGAATTATAGGATCGAAACTAAGAGAACCAATAGCCCATTGTTTCTTCTTCTACATGTACTAATATTTCAACCTTTTTTCCCTTGTTTGAAATAAATCTTTGGTTACCATTTTGTCCAAAGCAGAACTGAACATTCCTCTTACAACACAGGACTGAATCTGGCGGTATCACTAGCACCAAGTTTACCTTAATTCTATTTTAATCTCTGTATCCACTTCAGATCCAGGATTCTCCTTGTGTGAGCTTTTCACATTTCATGACTTCCTGGTATTAGATTTTGCTTGCTTCCTGAACAGCAATTTGTTATATTGTAATTACACAGTGCAATCCTATTCACATTTTCTTGAATGCAAGCTTACGTTAGTAAGTAAAACTGTTTCAGGCTAACTTGCTCCTACATAAATACAGAAATGCAATCCCAAAGTATTTACAAAAGTCTCAAAATGATAAGACCCTAATGAAACATTAAACATTTAATTAAAAAACAGGAACAAGTTCCTATGACAAACATAGCAACCCACACTATTAAATTACACTTCTTATATAGACGGTTGAATACAACGCCCACAAAATCCAAGAAAGTTACAACCAAGCAGACTTAGCATTCACAAAGTGGGGGGGATAATATATATATATCTGATGTTGATATGTCAGAATTAAAGTCTGAGGGTTTGCTTCATGTCACACTGCACCATTTTATCATTTTTGTTTTACTGAAGTTTGTACCAACAATTACTTTTGTACTGTGAAAATGTTGTATAAACTATTTGTATATTGCTATGATAATGGCTAAATAGAAATTAACCATGGGTTGCAATTATGTAGCTAATCAGTTTTATGAACTGGTACTTATTAAAATTTACTTGTTCATTTTGGCATATTTGATGCACAACATCATAAAACCTTGAACAACTCATAGATTTAAGCTGTGATAAAACAGTACATTAGATAAGTTCTAATAAACGTATGAGATGCCTTATGACTGGTTCAGAATGAAACAGTCTATATAGCAAAATGCCATATAAGAATTGCTCTAACATGGGCTCAAAATGAACATGATTTTTTCATAGAACAATAAGAAGGTAAGACCATTTATAAAGGAATGTTAAAAACCCTAACTTCCAGCCTCAAGTTATTATGGGTGACAGAATATTTGGTAACATAACCAGATACAAAAGATACACTTATTTATTGACTTTTCTTATTTTCTCTCCTTGCTTTCCTTTTCTGCTGTATCGTCTTTAGTTCTGTCATTACGTTCACTGTTTTATAAACCCAAGCAATCTGAAAAACAAAAACAAATTATGACATGTGAAATTCAATTCCTGATAGTGTTCTCGTTTCTCCAGGGGCCTCTCTTTATGCAATCTAAATCTCCAGACATTAAGAGATGATGCTATCAAGCTTGGTGAAGCCCCATATTTTGAAGTACTGTCAATTTTTCCAAATGAGAACAAAACCTCATTAATAAGTACAGAATGTTATCAAAATGGTAGTGAATAAACAACCATCTTCATTCTAAATCACAGACTTTGTTTCCCCAATATTATACTCTTTGTAGTTCTATCTACCTGAATCACCTCACTAATTATGACTTTACAGATTACAGATATATTTTTATTTCCATAAGCCTCTACAAAAGGTTTGAATTCCTGGTCCTTCTTTCAACTGAAGCTTCTCGCACCCAAATAAATATAATTTGTCCTTTGAAAGGATGGGTGTGCTGCTGGTTTCCATTACTAACATGCTTTAGTGGTTCAGAAGGGTTACCAAGTTGTCCAATTGATGTTACACATGTGTCAAGATGTAATAGTTGCTAACAAATACCTGGGTATTAAACATTATGAAAGTATCACCAGACACCATAAATAGGAATTTTCTATAATAAAACTTTTTTTTCTGGTTCCTTTTGCCTTGATGCCAAAATTTTGAAGGAAAGAGATTAGTGCTTACCACTATGAGGATGGCATTTAGCAGTAATGGTACTGAGAACACTAATGAAATAAACATTCCTTGGGAATCAAAGTACTGCTGTTTTGAGAAGAATCTGTAAAGGAGCAAAAATAAATAAATAAACAGCTTCGGTGGAAACAAACTCCATTAAAGACAACAGTGAACAAACAGACTAAATGCTGCATTCCAAATGGAAACTTCTTTTAAGAGAAAAGACTGTACTCCTGAACTTTAAATACCAAAAGTTTGAAAACTTTTTTTCCAGGTCATCTGCTTTATACTAGTTGTTTAAAAAGACAAGCCGAGGATTCCATGCAGGTATTAAAAAATGAGGGTGAATGTGGACATTGTCCTTTTTCTCTAAACAATGAAAAAGTACCATAAGAAAATATCTCATTTCCTCATTAGAGGTGGCCAATTCATATAATACCTTAATCTATTTTATGAATTCCAAAAGAAATTCAAACCTATTTAGTATAGCAATAGCACTTAGACTTATATACCGCTTTACAGTGCTTTATAGCCCTCTCTGTGGTTTATAGGGTCAGCATATTGCCCTCAACAATTTGGGTCCTCATTTTACCCACCTCAGAAGGATGAAGGCTTGAGCCTGGTGAGATTTGAACTGCCAAATTGCAGGCAGCCAGCAATCAGCAGAAGTAGCCTGCAGTATTGAATTCTAACCACTGTGCCATCGCTGCTCATTAACATATAATGTTTATGCATTTTATCAAAGGCTTTCTCAGCATCCAATGGGAAAAGCTTATCTTGTTTTAGCTTCTTCTTGCCAAGTCATAAATTTTCTTTTGTTTTAAAGATTTAAAAAAAACCCAAACCCACACATGCTATATAGAAGACACTGATGTTTCCCAGCGTGAAAACATTAACTCTAAAGAGAAAGTTTACAAATTACACAGTTGAATGCAAAAGATTTAATGTGAAGTACACTGAAATCTCACTAAAAATTAGGCACATGATCTGGTCTCCATAGTTAGGATATTTGGCATGCAGTATTTAAAGAAATTTAATCGTTCCTGCAAGAGGTGGGTAGAATATAACATTGTTGCTAAGGCTCAGTTTCCCATCAACCCTAGGTAAAAAGGCCGATGGTAATAGAAAATGGGAGTTGCAATCCAATTATACTTGGAAAGCATATACATTTAGTCCTCGACTTATAACCACAACTGTGCCCAATTTTTTTGTCGCTAAGCAAAAGAGGTGTTGAGTTCTGCCCCATTTTATGAGTTTTCTTGCTGCAATTGTTAAGTGAATCACTGCAATTGTTAAGTTAGTAACATGGTTAAGTGAATCTGGCTTCCCCATTAACTTTGCTGGTCAGGAGGTCGCAAAAAGTGATCACATGACCCCGGTATACCACAACAGTTATAAATACATGGCAGTTGCCAAGTGGCTGAATTTTGATCACATGACCATGGGGATCCTACAACAGTCGTTAAGTATGAAAAACCACTGCAAGTTACTTTTTTCAGTGCCTGATAACTTCAGTCACTAAACAAATAATTGTAAATCAAGGACTATCTAGTATTGCCACTCACTCAGGAGAGGGGAAAAAGCAGGAGACCATGAGTTCAAGTCCCGCCTAAGCCATGAAAACCAGTTGGGTGACTTTGGGCCTCTTGCCCTCTCTCAGCCCAACTCACCTCACAGAGATGAAAAAAATAAAGAGGAGAAAGACTGTTAGATTTGCTGCCTTGAGTTATTTATAAAAATAAGGCAATAGGAAGCATTTTTTTAAAAATACAGAGTAATGTTTTATGCAGTTAAGATGTATCTTTCTATATATATTAAAATGATGTAAAATAATGTAATTACCTCCAGTTTGTAGCAGCTGCTTCATTTATGTATTCTGCACAGAATACCAGGATTACTAGAAAGACAAGTACAATTGCAGGTTGCTAAAGGATATTGAATCATCAGCACAACTGGCATATAAAATGTGTACCACCTCATAAAAGGGAGGCTTGGCAAGGAAAGCATTTCACAAGGGGCCCTCCCTAGTTTTCCAGAGAGCAAAAGGAAAGGCGTGGAGAAATACTTTCAGTCTTGGAAGATTTTGCTAATGTAAACTTACAATGAAGACAGAGTACTATCTGTTTGTGCTTCTTGTCTGGACTACTTCACATGGCTAGCAATTTGTAAATGGTTGGTAACTAAGGTAATTGCTAAATGACAAGTGGGTGTAAGCACAAGTGCAGCTTTTGCATGCCTCAATCCCAAGATTACTTCACATGCCCAAATGAAGTAGGAGCAGCAGCTGAAAGCAAATCAGCAATGTTACAGCTTCCCTGGTAGGGATTAATAATGTTTTCAACACTTTTCTGATTTGAGGATCATTAGAATAGGAATGGGAATTGGAGGCTTCTGGAAAGGCATTGTTCCTATACCTGATTTTAAAATTTTACTTAAAACCTGCCTGGTAGTGTGCTTGGAGAGTGTTGGAGATCAGTCAAGTGGGAGTGGGACACATGTAGAATCAAATTTAAAAGCTCTCCATTTAGAATTTTTCCACAGCTAACATTCAACAATATCTAGAGGAGAGTTCCTCACTTTTAAGATCAAGGATTATTACATGATGGATATTTCTTTCCCACTAAAGCTTTTTATATAATATACAGACTTCAGCCCTGTATTGATTTGACTTAAACTAATGGAAACGTTCTGTATTTTTTTAAGTTTTAGAATTTTTACAATTATTATAGCAAGACTACATAACTCATAAACTCACCATAGAAATAATAAAGGATTCTTTTATTCATCCAATATAGAAACAATCCACACTATCCTACAGAGTATAGATTCCAAAGAAACATTCAGGACCTACTGTAATTCCCATTCATGAATTAATTCATCATATCCCTTCTGCCAACAGTAGAGAGCACTATGGGGAAGACCTAACAGACTTAACTCCCAATTTCCCCTCTCATGAATGGAATGGTATCATATAAATATTCCTGCCAGAACCTTATCTTGGGCTTTAATAAAAAACATTGCTCTAATCAAAAAGAGGAAATAATATGTGACCTCCATATACTCTCAGAACGGACAGAGCAAAAAATTCTGGACTTAGGAAAAACAAACAAACTATGAAGGTATTTAAAAGACTTTAAGTCATAACAAAACATAATTTCCCCATTTCATCATTAAACATTTCTCACTATTTCTTACTCCAATTGAGCCCATTTGGTGGTACTGCCCTACTCAACTCACAGCTATTCTCACGCCAAAAAATACCCAGTGCAGTATTTTGAACATGTGGCATTCATTACTGTATACCTTTGAGTAATACTATAGTGCTTGGTGTGGTTTAGTATATCCAATAAGTCCAAATATAGGGTCTATAAACCCTGATTAGTATATTGCATGAATTTAGCCAGCTGTGTTTTAGTCTATAAACTATCACTTAGTGTGATTCTTATAGTCTAAGCATTCTTAACGTGCAAAAAACATTCATGCATGACCCTTAAAATGTGCCTCATTGTCTATCAGAGAACAACTATGTCCATAAAATATGTCACATAATACTTACTGAGACACAGAAAAAGCCCTATTTGGAAACGGTAGTGCCGGAATGAAAGGTAAGTAAAAAATAAGCAGACTACGTGGAAAAACACTAGAGTTAAAATCCAGGGTTCAGACCAATCTGTGTCCTATGAAAAGAACAGAAGGTAAAATTATCAGAATTATAACAGCAGATGAGAGCCATTTACTGACATGAGAGTCCAAACACATTTATGTTTACAAATATAATGAATGCAATCTGTAGCCCATTAGAATCCTAGGTCTGCCTTATATTTTTTCCCCCCAAGCAAGAGTCAAGCCTTCAGGAGCAAACAAAGGAACACCTAGAAGCTGAAATTCCATACACATTTTTTTTGCTTTGTTTTGTTTTTTAAACCTGCCAGTTTTCTCCCATTTCACACTCTTCTTCCTCTAATTTGTAATTCCTGCTAGCAATGCCCATATCTAAATTTTTCAGGACAACTTCTCAGTCTGCCTTTACTCCAACCATGCCTTGCTGTATACAGGTAGTCCTCGGCTTACAACCCCAATTGAACCCCCAAATTACATGGCTAAGTGAGAAATGTGTTGAGTGAGTTTTGCCCCCCCCCCTTTTTTGACTTTTCTGGCCACATTAACCGAATCACTATGGTTGTTACATTAGTAACAGTGAATCTGGCTTCCCCATTGACTTTGCCCGTTAGAAGGTTGCAAAAGGTGATTGCGTGATCCTGGGATACTGCAACTGTCATAAATATGAGCCCAGCATCCGAATATAAATCACTAGACCATGGAGATCCTGCAATGGTCCTATGTGGGGGGAAAATGGTTATAAGTCATTTTCAGTGCTGTTGTAAACCTCAAAATGGACTGTTGTAAATTGAAGACTATCTGTACCTGCCCGACTGCCCAACTCTCCCCCTCCAGCTACTATTATCATCATGCTGCCTCATTCCCCACCCCGGTGCCTTTTACACACGCAGATGCTGAGACAATAACTATACTTGGCGCCGTGGAAGAGATTGCAGATTGTAGTTGCCTGTCACTGCTTATCGCAATGGTTTCCAAACTTGGCACCTTTTCAGACTTGTGGACTTCAACTCCCAGAATTCTCCAGCCAACATAGCAGCATCCTTAAGTCTTGAAGTTGCACATTACCGCACCGCCACCTTGCAGGGTCAAAGAACCAACCTCCCCTTTTCATTGCAAAGGGGCTTGTTTTCCCACGACCCCCGTGAAACCGCAGAGTTCCCTTTTCTGGCTCCAACTGGGAAATAAGTTCACACGCACGATCGTGCTCAGCCACCCTTCCAGCCAATGTTCCCAGCTGGGAAAAAAAAGGAAGGCTCCGCAGATCGGAATTACCGTGAGGATCCTGGTGACCCCGATCGGCAGGCGCCCTGGGGATTCCATGATTTGGGAAGAATCCCTCCTCTTGCATCAGCCAAACATTCCACCCACGTTTGTCGGTGGGGGATAAACAGAGGTTAAATAGTAACCAAAGAAGAGGAATTGGATCTACACACGCAGCTAAAGGATTGCACCGCTTCTTTGCCGCATAAACAACTCCGCGGTCCGTTCCCTGAGAAAGCCGGAAATATTTGCAGAAACTACTCTCAGCTGTAGTTCCTTGGGAGTGAGAGATGGGTTTTCTCGCGAGAAACGACCAGCGAGGGTTCCGCCCCGACGCTTGGAGTCACTTGACTCTCGCGAGATTTCTCTGGTCTATGGGTATATAAATGGGGCTGGGCGAGCGTAGTGCGGCATTAAGAGTTGTGGGAGCGGCTTGGGTGGATGGTTCTTATTGTGGTTTTGGTTGAAAGAAGGGCGGGAAGGGAATAGGAACAAGCAAGCGTGGCTTTTCTAAAATGGGAAAGAAAAAAGATGAGACGAGCAAGAAAGCAAGCTGAGCTTTTAGAAGAATGTTCTTGTAATTTGAACTGCAAAGCCGCTTTTGTAACAGCGTGTCTTGGGAGGGTGAAATTAAGGAATTAAGCTTTGCGGAGGGTGGAGGGGAAAGAGGCACGTAGGTTGTTTGAGTAGACCTAGGTTTTGGAGAGTGAGCCTCATTTGAGCGACTAACTTTATAGTATAATTGACCATGCATTCCATTAAAGCACTATGCAGGGACAGATACTACAGAGTAGAACTATAAAGAAAGTGAAGAAGGCAGGGGGAAAAAAAAATAAACCAGGAAGACATCTATGAAACAAGCACATACATTGTGATTGAAAAGTTAACATGGAAGGCTGTAACAAAGATAAGAATTTTAACGGGTTTCCTTGAACTTATGGTGTGCTACCCCTTTTTCTCACAGCCTTGTGCCTATCTAATTCTGCCTTAATTTTGCTTAGTGGCTGCATAGCAGCATTGATTAAAACACACTAGAAAAGCTGAAATCTCATCTTGTGGAGTAATAAGAGTTTACTGATTGAGAATACCTTAGTTCTTTGGTTGTCTCATTCAAGTACTCAAAGCACCTGATACTCTCAATGTCTCCAGGTGCACAATGTCTTTTTTCTCCAAGTATTGCAATGCTTGCGAGGAAAGTAGGGCCTTTCAAGAGTCCATTCTCAACTCAACTCCAACCACAGTAACCCAGCCCACAATTCCTACAATAATGCTTTAGTTAGCTAAACTCATGTTGGACTGCAGTTCTTCAAACTGCTTAGGAGTAAGCTAGTTTGAAGATGAATTCTATTTGCTCTTGGGAAAATTGTTCAATGTGGGAACACCCCCCAAAGAATGAAATATTTTGGGGGTTATTAAAAAGGCAGGATAACTTTTCCCTAAAGGAAAAATGGGGAAAAAAAAACTTTTAAGGGGAGGCAAAAACTAGCCCATTTCCCTGCCCCAAGCAGAAACAGGCCAGGTTATAGAAATGTTGGTTTGGTAATCCATTCAGAAAGACTGAAGGGGGGGAGGAAGATAAGCCAACATAGTTGAGCCAAATGTTGACTAAAGTAGCTCAGACAAACATCTAGGAGATTTGCATTTCCCCTTTTGCCTATAAAGCCAGCTATGACCCATAGGAATCCAGAAAGTATAAAACCCACCTACTCTAAACTCCATTTTTGACAGCTGTCCCAGAATTGCATGTGGTTGGTAGTTTCATCAATATATGGACGCTCTTTCCAATCTTACAGCCTCCATTTTATTTCCAGTGCCTTTCTATTGGTTTGGAACGGGACCTGGATATTTCTTCCATGAACTGAAATGGTGTATTCTTTAGAAAAATCTGAAATGTGTCCTAAGAGAAGCCATATTGTGCAGCTTTTTTTGCAAATAGTTTTGGAGGGTGCAGCCAGAAGCTGTTTGTGTTGTGTGCCTATAATGGCCTTAAATAAAAGCTGGATAGATCTAGTCCTCAGTTCTGTCATTAACCACATTGTAAATAAGGCATTCAAGAAGCATAATGTGTATTGGGGAAAGCACTTTAAAATCTGAATAGCTAAAGATAAATTTAGCCTGCTGCTTCATTAGAGCTGGGAGCGAGTTGAAGATTAGGTCGTTCAGATAGTTATTTAGAATTAGTTAACAAAGAAATCTTGGTGCCTGATTACTAGAATGAGGAAGATGAAATCCTGGAAAAGACTGGGATTTGCCTGGGGAAGTTTTAGTTCCAGTCGTAGTTTGTTTTTTGCCTCTTTGCACCAACTTAGGTGGCAATTTACAAGCAAGCAATTCTGGCTTTATCCTTTAGTTTTGGAGTTTAGGGGAAAAAAACCCCCCTCCAAAAAAAAAAGGCTAGTTGAAAAATCAAGATTATTTCCAACCCTCTCCAAATCTTCCCCTGGGTTTCCTATTTTTAATCTTTCTCCTCCACCAGGTCTTTACTATGCTGCTTCTCCATTTCCAGTAAACTGGTTTTCCATAAGGGGCACACGCGTTAGTTTTTTTATTGTGGTAACCTGACTCCAGAATGATGTTGGGATGCTCCCAATATAAAGCAGTAAAATGTAACATTCAATAGAAGTAACAACGGCAGCCTGTACTGCCTCACCCCCTTTTAACATAGTAAATGCCATCACATGTCATTTACACATAGTAAATGCCATCACAAGGTGAATGGAAACACATTTGTAGGAAATTAGCACCCACCCCTCTCCTAGAAAAATGGAGTATCCCAGGAAATATTAAGGCAGAATTTTTCCACTAAAAGTAGAAACTCAGAAGCAGAAACTCCCTTCAAAAGCAGAAATTCCACCCCCATACCTTTGCTGGCCTAGGCCAGCCTATTTTACATAACAAAGATCTCCAAGTAGATCTATAATAGGAATTGCCCAAAGCCCTTTCATTGCATCATTACCCAGCAAGGGCTCAACCAAGCCTGGGACTCAGGATAGCCTACAGAGTTGCCCCTGCATGGCTCCATGGGAGTCTTGACAACCAATCAATACAAGCTCAAATTCAAATCCCAACGGTATAAACCCAGGCACTCTCAACACCTCAGCCCTTCCTTCTTTGGAGCTCCAAGCCATGTGATCCTGTCCATTAAACCATATTTCCAGTGTCTTTTTCTCTACTTTAACCCAGAAGGATAATTCTTCCAACAACATACTTATATTAAAATTGTGGTTAAAGTGCTCAGAAAAGTCAAAAGACTGAGTTCTAGTCCACTTTGGGCATATGAAAGCTGGCTGGGTGACTTAGGCCAGTTACTTTGCTTCCCAACTCATCTCAATTTTTGTGGGAAAAAGTGAGGAAGAAATACTTGTATTCATTGCCATGAGTTACTGTAAAGTAATAAAGGCGGGATAAAAATCTTAACAGGCCTAATTTGCAGTCAAGGATATCAGTCTTTTCCTTACACAATTGACAATTGGATGTGTTACATCTTTTATTGCTAGAGGTCTGCAAATACAAGTTGTTCATTAGAAGGCTTGGTTAAATCTATTGAACCATTGTGTCCTGCTTCAGTCCTGGATATATAAATACTTCGGCTTAGGCATTTTTGTCTTTGAGAATTTTGGAAAATTATGTTTTATACATCAATTTTGATGTGTCAACCTTACTGAGGATGATCCGTACAATACAGTATGGTTATAATTATAATTTTTTCAGACAAGGCTCTGGGTGAGGTGTCTGGTTAAAGGCAAAGAGTCAAACAGTTTCTAAGGCTGAAACAAGTGTCAATATTTCATGTTATATACCCAATTGCTATAAATTTCAGTTTCCTTTTAGGTTACAATTGTTGCCCTGTATCATAGGGGTCAATATTGAACAAATTAATCTGGTACTGGTGGCTGCATCTGTAAACCCAGCAACTGCTAATGATAGTTCTATCCTTTCATTTTTTAATTAGTGGGCTTCTGGACAACTGAGATGAGAATTGAGAATTGTTTAACAGCTGCCCCAATTTAGGACTCTTATCAAAAATAACTAAGTGTAGGTGTAATATCCACTTGCAATGTGAGAAAAATTAGGATTCACTATGGAATCAACTAGTAGAAGCATTTCTTGAATTTGCTTGGACTGATTCTCAGGAGCCAGTAATGTTAAACCATCAATTACAGACTTATTCTTCAAATAATATGAAGGCTGTTATATTGATCTGCTGCGTAAGCTTTTATGATTCTAGTTTGGACTTTTGAACTAGTATGACAAGTTTTGAAATGTACGATTTGCTATAGGTTTCCTTAACTTGTTTGAAAGTATAATTCTTCAAGGCCTTTCATTTGTCTATTTTTTCATTGGCATTTGATTGAATGTAGCAATGACTTTCTGAGCTGTTAAAAGGCGATTCTTGGCCATTAAATCCAGGCCTTCTTTGAAATTGTTCCCAAGGTCAGCAGAATCCTTCTCACTATCTTCTATTAGCACCTCATTTTCAGAGAAAGGGTAATTGTCTACTTCCCAGTGTAGTAAAGAATAAGAATTGCTCACGGAGCTTACAAGGGGCGAGGAAGAGGGTTCTCTTTTTGTTTCTGCTTTTGTCATTTTACATTCTCAATTAGTATTTCAAAAACTTTAGAATTTAGTATTTCTAATTCCATTAAATTCTTATTTTCCCCAATGGTAAACATGGAAAGTGGCACCCCCCAAAAAAATCTTGATTAGTGCTGATGTGGAATGCCATTTTTACCATTGAAGAGGATTATTTCTATGGGAAATAGGGAAACTGGTTCCATTTTGATGAAAATGCTTTAGTTCATTGAGATTGTGGGCATTTGTTTATGCATAGCTCCCTTGAGGTCTTGCCAGAGCATTTCAGTTGGCTTGAGGTTTGGACTTTGACCTATTGCAACAACTTGATTCTTTTTCAGCCATTCTGTTGTAGATTTGATAGTATGGCTGGGATCATTGTCTGGTTTCATGACACAATATCAGCCAAGCTTTAGCTGCTACAGCTGTTGGGACAGGTGGCCACATTTGACTCTAGAACACTTTTGCTATACAGAAATGTTCATGGTTGATTCTGTGACTGCCAAGGTCCTGCCCAAGTCATCAACCCTTCACCAATGAGCTTTATGGTATGAGCTGTTTGTAATGATATGCTGTGTTTGGGTGTTTCTCAAATGCGGCAAAAGATCTCTGCTTTGGTCTCGTCTGTCCAAAGGACAATGTTCCAGAAGCCTTCTGAATTTTTCAGAGGTTTGCAAACGTGCTGCCAT